AACTAGCCCAGTCACTAATGTTGGAGGCTGGTGGTTCTCAAAGAAGCCACTCTTCCATCTTCAGTAATTACTCTAAGCGTATAGAGTCACCTCAGCCAAGAAGAGCTCTCACCTAGTGATGGGCCAAGGCAGGACAGCTCTAAAGTGCAGATCTGAGGCTGAGGATACAGAGGCTGAGGCCTCTGTTGTGGCCACACTGTGGTTCAACCACACTTCTACCCAGTCCTAGCACCTTCACTCCCTTAGATCACCATCCTGAGATCTCTCATCAAACTTCCAGCATACAAATCTCATCTCTCATCAAACTTCCAGCATACAAATCTCAGTCTCAGAGTCTGTGTCTTGGAAATCCTGAGCTAAAATAGTGGTTTGGATCTGATAATGTGATCGTACACCTGTCCTTTCGTGAAAGAGGACCATGAAAAAGGAACCATTTTCCACGTAAAGGGAAAAATCTCCTTCCAACATTAGCACTTGCCTGGTAGATATCAAAATAGAACACTGTACTTTACCACAACTGCTTTTAGCCCACTGAAATGGATAAAGAATTTGGAATTATTACACCTGTGTACTAGACCCTCGCCAGAGTAACTAAAGAGACTTTCCTGACTCGGGTGTACTTTGAGACTTACCTCACTTGTTTAATCGATTTTGTGGATGTGCATTTGAATTAATTCTGTCTCATAGAGAATAAAAGCTACAATTATTAACCAGGAGGACCCTGATTTTTCACGTCTCAGCTAATATTCAGAGTGCGTATCTCTGTCTAGATTGTAAGGCTTTTTATTTTTTTTCTGACATCAATATTCCAAATGTCTGAACTCCTATGTTTTTATTCCCAGGGCAAAGAGTGTGAAATACGTTTTTTCCTCATAACCTGACTAAACAAAGCCAATTTGGAAAGGAGGGAAGCACAGGGACGCACACATGTTCAGCTGATGAGTGATCATTCCCCAAAGTCCCAGGGTAGCATTTTCCATTATCTTTACACCTTGTAAACCCTTTCACTATCCATATAACATCCAAACTGAACCCTCATGGTGTATTTTTAATCATTTTGACATTTTTCTTTACAAACGCTATTAAGCGCATATTTTTTGATGTGCATATTTTATCCATTGCACTGTAAGTTCATTTTTCATGAGTTTTTAATGATATTCACTATAAATAAAGACTTTTTAAATTTAAAAAATGTTCCATGATGTTTAATTTACTTAAACTAATATATAAGAAAATATACATTAATGATATGGCATGTCATGTTTTGCAGAGAAATAAAAAATGTCAAAAATGTAGACCAAAGTTGAACTATGTATTACAGGTTGAACATCCCTAATTTGAAAATCCAAAGTGCTCCAAAATGAAAAACTTTGTGAGTGCTAGCATGATGCCACAAGTGTAAAATTCCCTATTTGACTTCATGTGATGAGTCAGAGTTAAATATTTTTCACACTCAAAGGTACTTGAAATATTGTATAAAATTACCTTGAGGCTATATGTATAAGGTGCATGTAACACATAAATGAATTTCAAGTTTAGACTTGGGTACCATCCCCAAGGTATCTTACAATGTATATGCAAATATTCCAAAATCTAAAAAATATTCAAGTCTGAAACTCTTATGGTCCCAAGGATTTTGACTAAAAAAGACTCAATCTGTACTGCATTAAAAACTGCTTTCAAAATTTGAGGCTTAAAATTTTTGTATTTCGAGTTTCAAAAAGTTAGCTGATTTGTTTTTATCTTTTACGTATGTTTCTAACTGAAGAAATAAAAGATAAGCTTTCAAGTTGTAATTTACAAATGTATTTCCACAATCACCATATTGCTAGATTTAGAAGCTTGGTTGCCTTAGAAAATGAAGGGTCAATTAGTCATAATCATTATTATACTTTTTATTATCACATTGATTTTTAAAAGTACGATGGACAACTTGGGATTTGATAAATTTTGTTTGTTTGAAGAAATGCAATGTGAAGACTTAGTGAAGATCAGTCAGTGACACATTTGCAGAGTCAGTATCTCCAGTTTTTGCCTCTAACCATTGACTCAACACAGGTTAGCATTAAACAGTATGTGGTAGATCGATCCCATCAGCTTCTTACTTTCCATCTTCCTCTATCCAATTCCTATTGCAAAGAGTGGGCTTTTATAGATTATTTCAAAGAATCCCTTGTGTTCTGGTTTCTTTTAGTTTGGCCACTAGGGTCTAAAGTTAAGTGAAACTGGAATATTTATTTCTGGCTGGTAGGTTGCCTCAGAATGGCTATCTTGGTCTTGTAACGAAAGGTTGCAGCTCCTACCAAGGGGTCCTGATCACCCCTCTGCCTCTTCCAACCTGGGTTGGCCATGGCTTCCTCCCATTTCAAGTCTCATGTTCTTCACAATCCCATGAGCTCCCTACCCTGTGCTCACACATTTTAAATATTCTCTTTATTAATCTCTCATCAGAGTACATAATTTGAGTGTGAATATTTATTTCTTTCCTGCCTGGACTCTGACTCTGACATAATATAGGACTGTGAGTGACAAAAACATAAAACTGCCAAATGGTCATAAACTTGGCAGCTGGAGGTATTCCGCTGGTGTTAGAGGAACCGAGAGACTGACTCATGAGTGCCTCATCTGATGTTTGTTAGATGCCACACACGCTCAGCCAGCTCATGAGAAAATTAGTCCAAATATTTATTTTATTGTTTATTTTAAACATAGAAATTGAAACCACAAACACTCCTTAACCATAAACACTCTCGAAAAATCCCAGTTTGCAAATCACCATTTTGGGGAACAAAAAAAAAAGTTCTGTCAAGGGACATGATTACTTTTAACTCCAGCCTAATGAGTAAATTCTGGAATAATTTGTGTGTGGAAGGTATGGTGGGGAAGGATTAGATAAAGTCTATGAATATATAATACTGTACAACTCTGCTAATGAAAGTTATGTATAGCTTCAAGGTTTGGAGTGAATTTTCAATCACTTAACCTGTAAAGCAGCATAGAGATATTAACTTTCCTTTAGTCCAGTGTTGAAGCTGACCATGCCCATATGAGACCAGAAGAGGGAATGCAACGTGTCACTAGGGAACACTTATTCCAAAACATATGATGTTTGTTGATTTTCCAACTCCTTTATGGTTTGAATTGTTGCGGGGGTGCCACTTAGGTTCCTGTGAAGATATTTTTCCAAAGGGAAGAAACTGTTCATACAAATTCTTCCTACTCTTCACATCTCTGACCCCAATTTGGCTGCACCTGCCAATTTTATCTCGTCTCTCTTACATGCATACCCCCACCCCAGGGAAAATCACAGGTAGTCCACAATCTACAAAGTAAGAGAAAATCCACACATCCCAAAGCAACACCACAGAAGACAGAGGTGGATAGACTGAACAAAGAAAGGTTGTTTGAGAGTAGAAGTGTGACTTTCCTTGCCCCCAGCTGTGTAAAGTGGCTGGTAAGAATCTTCTCACTTCCCTTTCCTCCTTGTCTACTTATTTTTACTTCATCCCTCTTTCAACCTGTTTTTTCCATTCTCTGTACAGTAAAAATGGAACCAATTGAGAGCCACTGGTTGAACAGGAGATAATGCAATAATAATGGGGGACCATGCCCTTGAGGCTAAAGTGTGTACCCTTCCAGAGAAGAACCTCATAACCAATGGCTCCAGCATGATATTTTCTTTCCAGGCACTGGGAAAAATATCACAATTAATAAAATTTTTCCAAGTCTCTTTCTCCCTCTGCTACCCACCTCAGGGCAGCCCCTATTTCCTTGCATCACTTTATTGTCAGAAATGCTGTAATGGTCAGCTCACACCAGCAATTGACACAAAGGAATCACATGAATAAATAAACAAATTGATAATTAATTGATAAGGAAACTATTCTCCCAAATTATCTTTCTCTCCACCAAATCACAACTGCCCCTTTACTAATACCTATCAGCTTACTGTTAATGTCATTTAAAAAAATCTTTATAGTGTGATTTACTGTGGAAGGCAGGCAGTAACATGCATTCTTGCACATTTACTCTGTACCCAATAAAAAAAACCCTGAGACCAGGGCTGCACTGTCTTGAGCTGCATGTTTACCCTGTTGCTGTAGCCAACAAAAAAAACTAAGAAGCAGGACCAGGGCTCCACTGTCTTGAGCTGTCAATAGGCAAGAAGGACAGTGTATGCCTCCTCAGGCTCTCAGGCCTTTATGTACTAAGTTTGTGAGAAAGTCTCATGTTTTCGCCAGCGGCATCTCCCCTGTTGGACGTCATCCCAGGTTGGGGTCTCCAGGAGTCCCAATCAGTTTAACTGTCCCAGGGGAGCCTGGCATCCCTGAAGTAGATCTTTGCACATTGGAAAAAGCTATCGCCCAAATATCACAGATCTGAATCGTATGGAATCTATGGAGTTTAACAACAGACATCCATAACACCCCCACCATTTGCCTGGCCTCACTTTTCCAAGAGTCATTGCATCATGGGGTGTCTGTAACCATTCACAGTGACAGGGAGGTCGATATCGATGACCTCAAAGAGGATTTCTCTTCCCAGGAACTGGATAATGTCCCAAGATAGCAACATATTTCTAGCTGCTGCCTGTGTTCTTCTAAACAGCTGTGCTCAACCATAGCTATGTTATCAGCAAAAGCAGTTTGTTCAGCATTCCATTGATTACCTGCTACAATCAAATCAGTATGACAGGCCAGTAGTTCTCAACAGAATCAGAAAACTTATGTTTTCAAAAATCAACAATCAATGAAATTCACTATGAAAATGCATGAATCTCTCTTAAAATGTGATAAATCCTTTCATTAAGACTATTGCCTCCTGCAGTGAGTTCTAGAACAACTAAAATACCACCTGAGCCAAGGGGTCTGGGGAAGTAAGATCCCTCAGAAAGAGAATAACATGCTGAACCCTAGATTTGGGGACAGGACTCTGGACCTCAGGGGCTTTAGAAGGCCTGACGTGCTTCCCAGGGTGGCCAGAGGTGGCTGGGCTCTTACCTTACCACACTGCTTACATTTCCCCTCCTGCCGGCGCCTGTGCACCCAGTGATGACGCACAAAATTCTGTGGGGAAACGAAATTCAAAAAATGTGTTTTAATTTGTTATTCTCCAAATTCATTTGTAACATTTGAAGACTATAGACTTATATAAGCCACAATTTAAACCCACATAAGCACAAAACCAAAAACATGAAGGTATCACTTGTCTAATAATAAAACATGAACCCACTTGGACAAATGACGTTAATTCTCTATTCCCAGGAATCTTTTACAGTTGTAGATCCCTCGCATCGTGCCCTCCCCTCTGTGTCTTCCTAGCGGCAAGTGGCCGTGCCCATTTGCCAGTACTCTGCTTTCTAACTCATCAAACACAGTGCAGAATTGTAAACACGCCAGAGGACCTTGAGCCAGGAGGTAACTGAGGCAGGTACAAGAAATGTGCAAAAAGAAGTGGAAAAAGTGAAGGAGAGAAGCTGAAACAATAATATCCAGTTTAATTTAACAAATAAGTATTTAGTGTTCTGTCTGTGGCAGGCAAGCACTGCACTAAACCTAGCTGGAGAACTTAAAGAAATCAAATTCTCAGATAAAAATAGACCTCCCAATCCAGGACACAGACGTGGGGATTTTTCACCAGATAAAGTGAAGCAAGGGAAAAGCTACATAAAAGAGATGTCAGAGTCAAGGGACAAGGGCTCATCAGTGATGCTTTTGCAGTGAGACCATGTTCCAGGCTGTCCTTGGGCACCTTGAACTAGATCAGCATTTGAGGTCTATTCTTGTCTGGAATGCAGGAAATACAGAAAGTCCTTTTCCTCCCAAGCAGACATGCACTCCTGGGCCAGACAGCCCAGTAGCGCCATTCACCACTAGTGCTCAGGATACATCATGAGGACGCTGTATCCTCATGTGTGTATGAGGACTCACAATGCAGGCAAACCCAGACCACTTACAAACAACTCCTTCCTCGTAGACCAGTATACTCAAAATACTTCCTCATTTTTTTTCTCTTGCTCTCTTCTGAGAAAACACACTTTATCTGATACTATTAATGACATGTCCATAGCAGGATCTAGGCATAATCCATATTTTCCCTTTGAAAGGCCATTTCATATGTGTATTCAGTCACTCAACAAATATTTACAAAGTGCCTACGACATGCCAAGAGGCACTCTTCTCAGTACAGAGAAAACAGATCAGTGTTGAGGAGGAAAAGAAAATGTTACATGGAGACATGAAATTCAAAGTGACAAGAATACCACTAAGAAGCATTAGTGTTATCACTACCAAAATGCCACCTCTATTTCTCTTAATAATGTCAAGTCAATTTAAACTAAAGCCAAACAAAGACCCTGGAGGAAGAGTGGTCATTTAACTATAATAAGATATAAAGAAGCATAATGATCCTGCAAATTAGTCTAATTTTTGTCTTGCTTTCCCACTACTATGGTTTAATAAAACAAAGACACAATCTTATATTGTGCTCAGAAAGAAGCTAATAAAAATGGCTAACACTTATTGAGTACTATCTGTGTTTAAAAAAATATTACAAGTAATATTTTACAAGTAATCATTCTTTTAATCGTCATGAGAATTTTCATGAATAGAGATGCTGTTTATTTGGAATGTATCAGTGAAGTCCCATGAAGTATTAAAATACTGAAATATTTCTATGTGGGTGGGTACATTGCAGTTTAGTGTCCCTGCCATCTCCCTGGCCTCTCCTCTGCTGCCACAGAACCACCCAACCCTAACCCTAACCCTAGCCCAACACACCCACTCAACACTGGAGACTATTTCCACCTCCTAATTATTAAGGAATTGGAATGCTAATTTCTGGTGCGATAGGTCTCCAGAATCTTGTTCCAATGAGCTTTTTGTTTTTATTAAACAAATCATGTTACCTAGGCAGCGCTATTGGCTCTCCCAAAGAACTGCTGAACACACTTAGGAGTGCTTATCTATGTAATCTTAAAAATCAATATGAAATGACATGAATAGAAAAAAAATCAATATGGACAGTGATGGTTCCTCTGGTTGGCTCTGGCTTTTATAAGACAATGACAACAGTTCTGGGACCCTGCCCTGTTATCAGTGTCCATCCCAACAGTTCAGTGTAAAAACTCTACTGAGGATGAAGATACGAGACCGTCCACCTCTCCACTTGGCAGCTGAGGCTACTGCTGATGCCTCCAGCCCCCACCTGCTCAAGTGACAGAGAAGAACATTAGCCCACTGCCTACCTAAGGATGAGGGTCAGGGAGGACTGGAGACATTGGCCAACTGCAGGAGAATCCCATTCACACTACCGCAGGGCACATTATCAGGGGGTGGATGTGAATCATCCTCATTTTACAGATGAGGACACTAAAGCAGAGAGATCTTACTCGAAACTTAAAGATCAAGGTGAATGTTTGAACCCTCACCGGCTGGCAGCAGAGTATGGGCTCCTACTGTGTTGCTGTGCCTCTCTTCTGCTCTGGAAAATTAGGCTCAAGTTACTTCAATATGACACATGAATAAATGATTCCAGTGACAGTCAGTAGTGGCAATATTGAATATATAAAAATGTCACACAGTATTATAAAGGAGAGAGAAAAATTAATATAATTGCTGTTAGTTTAGCAGAAGCTGAGGGGAAATGAACAATATCATTGATGTTAAGAGAAATTTTGTACTTACTGAGATTATAAGTCACCTAATGACTACCAATTTAAGGAGAAACATGCTGAAAGAATTTGATGCAATTACCTATGTGAAATCACGGCTGACTCATGGGATCATTTAGCAAGTGACAGGTCTATTCAAAAGATGAAATCAACAATTTGCAAAATCAACAATTATTTAGAAATTATAAGGCTGACTCAATCATTCACACTGCAACATACAGTAGTCTTTCCCTGTTCACCGGGGATATGTTCCAAGCCCTCCAAGTCATTGGAAATGACTGAAACCAAAGTACAAGCAGGCCCCAAGTTACAAACTAGATGGATTCTGTAAGTTTGTTCTTAAGCTGAGTGTGTATGTAAGTGGAAACAGGTACATTTCCCTATTACCCATAATAGCCTTTATTTGTAAGTGTGAGTTGTATGTAAGTCAGATGTTTATAACTCAGGGACTGCCTGTAGTACTGAGCTTTACACATAGTATGTTCTTTAAAATCTGTACCTGAGAGAATTACTAAGTCACCAAGGAACAGGTGGCATCTACAACATGAATGTGCTGGAAAAAGGGGTGGTTCACATCCCAGGGGGGACCAACAGGCCAGCATAAGATTTCATCAGTCTACTTATAAGAGTGTGCAATTTAAAATTTATCAACTATTTATTTATGGAAATTTCCATTTAATATTTTTGAACTGTGGTTGACCTCAGATGACTGAAACCACAGGAAGTACTTACTGTTTGGTAAGCAGATTTATAATACCATGTAGTTTAGTTCATTTAGGGAATAGAAAAAAATATTTTAGAATTTGTATTAAATATTACTATGGATGACTATACAAGTTGTAAAATACTTTTGATATTTTCTTTTCTAAAAAATAAATAGGAAGCTACAGCCCTGATTAAGTAACTTACACAAAATCACCATTACGAAGGAAACTGAGTGACCGTCTCCAACCTGCACACGGCCTTAGGATTGGAGATATCCAGGGTCCCTCTACTCAGAATTCTGCTTAGGCCTAATATAAATTTATTCTACTTCTGCTTAAACAGAGTTTGAACAAAGCCAACATCCAATAAATTGTGTTTTGAATTGAATGGAATTCTCCACCTAATTTCTTTGACAATCCAGGTAGGTACCATCTGTGGGTCATCATTTATTGCCATCATAAATAAGAAAAAAACTATCAAGGAATTATTACTGTTTTTTAATTCTTATTTCCAAAGCACTATAATTTTTCACACTATTTTCTTTCAACCATTATTTATGTGTCTCCTAGATTGTTGGGCTGACATTAGACTCAGGAACTGTCCACTGTAAATGCAAATGTCCTTAAGACAGCAAAGCAAGGCCTCTAATACTTTCAAATCCTTTTACTGCTCATTGATAATTTCTGAATTATTCATATATAGTGTCAAGTACTGGGTAACGAAAGTTACCAGAAACTGGTACTATTTCCAGGTGTTAAAATATTGGCAATATGTTATTTTGAGGCCTATATTCAGTATTATTAACAGAAACATGTAATATAATTGCTCAGTTATTTTAAAACAGGCAATTCAATTCAAAATTTTATTCATAGAGAGTTTGAAATCATAATCTAATCATTTAGCTCTTGACTAAGAAAATGGAGGTCCAAGAAGACTCAACTAAGAGGAGCCCAACAAACATTTATTGAGAAATTGCCATCTGCTGGGCACTGTCCAATAGCAGGCACAGGGACTGGCAGTCCTTGCTCTGGAGATTCTTACCACCTTGTGGAGAAGAAGCAAACATATAATTTGAACCCAGATCAAAGTAATTCTTTTTTTTTTTTGAGATAGAGTCTCACTGTGTCCCCCTGGGTAGCGTGCTGTGACATCACAGCTCACAGCAACCTCAAACTCCTGGGCTTAAGTGATTCTCTTGCTTCAGCCTCCCAAGTAGCTGGGACTACAGGCACCCACCACAATGCCTTGCTATGTTTTGTTGCAGTTGTTTATTTGGCTCGGGCTGGGTTTGAACCCGCCACCCTTTGTGTGTGTGGCTGGTGCCATAACCACTGTGCTATGGCTGCTGAGACAGATCAAACTAATTCTAAAGCAAATATTCTTCTGTTTACATTAAGTAAACTACCTAAATTAGAAGTAATAAGAATTCTTTACTCCTAATTAAGAATCTCAAATAGAAGATAGCCAGTCTGTCATAAGTTTCATCTTCAAAATGTCCATTTATTCAGCCATAAAAGAAGATGGAGATGTTCCTTTTTTTTTTTTTGAAACAGAGTTTTGGTATGTCACCCTCGGTAGAGTACTATGGCATCACAACTCACAGCAACCTCAAACTCTTGGGCTTAAGCAATTCTCTTGCCTCAGCCTCCCAGTAGCTGGAACTAAAGGTGCCCACCACAATAACAGAACACGTTTAACAGAAACATGTTTCATTGTTGTTTAGCAGGCCCTGGCTGGGTTTGAACTCACCAGCCCCGGTGCATGTTGCCAGCACCCTACCCACTCACCTATGGACACTGAGCCCTTATATCTTTTGTGTTTACCTGGATGGCACTGAAGAACATTCTCCTTAGTAAAGTATCTCAAGAACGGAAAAACCTGTATCCTCTGTGCTCAATACTAATTTGAAACTAGTAGATGAATAACTACAGGCCCACATGAGGGAAAAACACAATTTAATTCAAGTGGAGAGAGGGGGCAGGGGCTCTCTGAGCTCCTACCTGACAGGTACGATGTAGGGATATATGGCACACCTCCTACGTAAAGGACTTAGATACAACTCAGGCCTTTCCTAGTACACACAGACAAAGTAACTAACAGTATGTAGCCTTACAGTAACCTGAAATTTTTAAAAATGTCCTTTAGACCAAGAGTTCGTAAATATTGGGGAGGAAATATATAAATGCACATTCACTGGTCACATACTCTATGTTTTGTCACAAAGGGTTTAGGACAAATTTCACAAGTGACCTCCTAAAGCTTACACTAAATGAGGAAGACTGTGAGACAGCAAACAGTAACGTGTGCAGAATCATGACACACACAATGCTCTGAAGGGGTGGAACAAGGGGCTTTGAGAAAGAATAAAGTGTCACCTATGTAAAGGTGGTCATCAGGGAAGACCTCTGCAAAGGACTGATGTTCATGTCTCTGCAAAATTCCTCTGTTGAAGCTGTAACCCCCAATGTGATGGTGTGAGGAGGTGGGGCCTTTGGGAGGTATAACAGTTAGGTCCCAAGAGCTCTCTTGCCCTCTTTCCTCCCTGTGAAGATACAGGGGGAAGGTGGCAGCCTGCAGCCCGAAGGAGCCCTCACTGGAGCTGGGGGTTGCTGGCACCTGACCTTGGACTTCCAGCCTCCACCACAGTGAGAACTAAGTGTCTGCTGCTTCTAAGCCACCCAGTCTGTGGTATGTAGTGGGACAGCCTGAACTGACCAGGACAAGCTCTGAGGGAGGGAACCTGAGTGGAGGCCTACCTAGGAGAAACAGGTAGTCATGCAAACAGACTTGGAACACAGCAATAAAATATGCAAACATCCAAAACTGGGGACCATCTTGGCATGCACCTTCAGTCCTGAAAGAAAGTCCAGGTGACAGCCTGATAGGGCTGGTGAGGCAGTCAGGGGCAGGTGACACAGGCCCTTCCATGCAAAGACAAAGGACTTGGTTTTGCTCTAAGAGCTGTGGAAACCTTTGGAGAATTTTAAGCTAAAAAACGATGTCCTCTAATCTTCCTTTTAAAAGACCGTTACCTTAAATCAAGAGTGGATGGAAGGGGAAAGTGAGGGATTACAGAGACGCTCCTGCAGCAGTCAAAGGGGAGAGGGCACAGCACCTCAGTCCAAGGTGCCGGGACACATAAGTAGATCAGAAATCTACTTTATGAATTAAATTCAGAGGCCTGGCAAATGAATTAGACGTGAGGAGAACATGAGATAAGTAATCAGTGTGATCTCTCTCCTGGTTTTTTCAACTGAGGAGCTAGATCAACAGTCATCTCATTTCCTGAGGTGGAAAAGAATTGGGATGAGAAGCTGTTTTTATGGTGATGGAAATAGTTCGGGTTTTGATGCACTATATTTGAAAAGTCTGTGACTTCCTCAATGGATATGTCAAATGGGACTTCAAAAAGTATAGACTGGGAACATAAATCTGGGAGCTATCAGCCTGCAGGTGGTATTTACAGACAGGAGTCTGGCTGAGCTCTTCTGACGGGAGTGGACAAAAAGAAGAGACACAAACAAGGACTAAGCCCTCAGGGACATCAGAGGTTGGGGCAGCGGCCAGCCAAAGACGGCAGAAAGGGCTACCTGATGAAGGAAAAGAGTTGAGAGAAGAGAACATACCCTGAAGAAAAGAATATGTAATATTTTGAATATTTTTGAGAGACTAATAAAAAAAGGACAGAAAAATAAATCCCTTATAGATTTGCCCATGAGCAAGACCATAGGTGACACTGATAAAAGCAATTCCAGTAAGTGGATAGAGTAGGAATCAGATAAGAACAGGTTAGAATGACTAGAACATGACGTATGAGACTGTCCCCAGTAACACAGGTGACTTGAGAACCTGGCTCACTTTCTCTAACTTTTCTCAGCACTGTGCTTGGTGTCTCTGCTAAATAAAAGTTGGACAAACCAATATATCTAAGGGCCGCCTTCACCTTTACACCTTCACTTACCACTAAAATCCGGATTTCTTACTCACCTGTGTATCTTCATGAGCAGATTGTAAGGTCAGGGACTGGTTTTTGGATGGAGTTCTGTCTTAGGTTTGATTGATTGATTTACTTAAATTCAAACACTGAGACTCAGAAAGATTAGATGAGGTGCCTAAGATCACACAGCGTCATGACTGGTTTTGAAAGTAGACAGTCTGACTTCAGTGTTCAGACAAATACCAGGTCATTATGCTGCCCCTGCCCAGCTGACACCCACAAGAACTTCTGTCACCACCCGCCCCCCACTCTCTAGTTCATTCAGTAGGACTTTATCTCTTCAATACATTGCAGAAGAATAAAGCGCAGTGAGCACATGCTGAAGATACTTGGAGATTTTATTGGTTGTATTGATTGATGTATTAACAATAGTGTGGAATGGAGAGAGATAGGATTTATTTTCTAATGTCTGGTGAATATCTATGCATCTAATGAATCAATGAGAAATCAAAGGTCGCATTTGAAACAGCTCAGAAATACTCACTTCTCTTGGTGATCTTGAGCCTCCTTCTCTAAAGGTTGGTTTACATCTGAAATTAATCTGTCATTTAAAAAGAAACGTATATTAGGTATAAGCATTAAGCAAGATTGAGTTACCTTAAAGAAAATGACAGATGTGGAGACTACAAATAAAACTACCAAAGAATAAGGAATAATTAATACTGTCTTGCCCCTTGGAAATCCTCACATTAGACAATCTACAGAAATCTCGAGTGATTTGTGTTTCCAACCCATGGCTTCATTCTCACTGATGAAATCGAAGTATCTTTAAAACACAGTATTTGTGATCACCTATATGGTCTGTCTAACAAGGGTACAAGTGAACTTTTCTAGAACTAGAGGATAAATGTTTTAACACAATAACTAAGTAAATGACACAAAGTCTATGTTAACCAGTTTGATGAAAATATTTCAAATTGTATATGAAAACACTACACTGTACCCCATGTTTGCATTAATGTATACAGCTATCATTTAATAATAAAAAAAACCCCACAGTATTTGTAAACCACAAATGTGGAAAAAATGAGATAAGCAAGAGTCAGAGGAAAGATCTGTGGCAAAAGAAAGTGTCCGGTTGGGTTTCAGATTTTTAAAGAAGAAAATACAAACCGGACAAATTTTTAATGTTATGATGATCACTCCAACACACACACAAAATTATCCTTTATAAAAAGACTCCGCAGCACTGCCTTTCCTTTAGTTGGGGAGGTCTCCCACTGGGCGCATTTACATCTTCCTTAACTACTTCATAAAATGAATGGAGCACAGGAATGAAAGAGGATGTAAATATATGGTGTGAGGGGACAGGAAAGAGAATATTAAGATCAAATATTAGCAGTCATTGTCACAAGATACCAGGTGGCAGCAATTGATACTGTGTCAGTGAAACTGAATGAGCGTCCCAGGAGACTAAATCATTTCAATGCATTTGCACACGGTAGCTCAGGAGATACTTGCACCTGCCTTGGGAACAAGTAAATTCACATAGGTCAGATATATCTGAATGGCACGTCCATAGAGCTTACTGAATTTTTCATTCTCGAGAAAGTATCTTATGGAAGAGCCTATGTGTGAAAAACAAAGTCTGAACAAAGATGTGTAGGAAGAGAATTAGTGTAGACCAGGCTTTGCCCTCTATGTTTATCTAACATCAAATTATAGAAAATTATACTCCAGGAAACAAGAGGTTGAATGACTCTCAGACATTGTATTTCCATTAATAATCTGGTAATAATGTTGGGCTTTCAGCTTTTTAAAGGGCATTGTTTTCAAAAGGTGAGAAGCAGGAATTGACACCTGATCTTTACAAACTAAACACTTGTAATGTCATAAAAGTGCAGCAGGTGGCACTCTCTTACCTTTTCTAGCTGCTCAATGCAGGCAGTGTGGACCACGATTTTACAGACTGCACACTTCCTCCTGAGAGCGGATTTCTACAACATTCAATTCAAAATACAAGAAAGAAATGTTAATAGCCTGTTCTGAAGATCACCCTGGTATTAGAAAGGGTATACACAAATAAAGCAAACACTGCAATTATTTCTATTGGTAAGCAAATTTAAAACTTCATCTTAAACATTAAATTATATGACAAACCTCATCAATAGTCTTTTCACTCACCAAGTAACTCCACATCCCCATGACCTAAGGTGGCCTAGATTGTCTCTTCAAAGTATAATAATAATAGCTGCTATAAATATTGGGCACATAAAAAGAACTAAGCTCTTTATTCTATTATTTCCAAGTGTCATGACGTAACAATGTAGACATTATTATCCTCTATCTTTAAATATATTTTTACATTTTTATGCAAGTGGTTAAGGGGCAGAGCCAACATCCAAATGCAGGTCTAAGTTCAAAACAAGCATTCTTTCCCTCCTGCTGAAGAGTCTACTTTTCAAAGGGGCCAGTTACTTTAGGACCCTATCCTAGGGATAAATCTTCACTAAGCTCCTTGGATCTCTACCCAAATCCTCAGAAAATGAAGACAAATCAAGTTTTTACAACAAGGATACAATAATAATATTGGCAAACACAGCAAGAGCAGCTAATAGGAATATGGCACTTGCTCTTACAAGCACTACAAAGGTAATCATTCACTTAACCTTTACTACAATATGAAACAGGTATTATTGTTGTCGTCCCCATTTCACAGATGAGAAAACTAAGGCACAGGAAGTAACCTACCCAAGGTCATCTAACTAGGGGACAGCAGGGCCAGGCAGTCTGGATCCAGAGCTCATGCTTCTAAATGTTACACAATTTAGCCTCTCTGTCGGTATTAGTTTAAATTGACAATAAAAATACTTTAACATTTATCTTTTCTCTAACAATAAAAAATATGCTGCCGGGAGAGGGATGAATGGGTGGAATTCAGATTCCATTACTGCTGGTATCATGTAGGATCTAAGCTAGCACTGCTTAGAGCTCTTGGCAGAGGACAGAGTAGAAGGGTCTGTGTGAATAATTCTTTTCTCTTTGAGCACAAAAAGCAACTTATTATAACAACGCCAATCTGCCCAATAATCTATCAAAGCATCCAAATGTGACAGAGCCCGAGTCCCTGTTCTTAAGGAAGACACTTGTAGAGAATGCTGGCTCCCTTCCCCTGCAGAGGGACAACTTTGGAGCCAGTTGTAGCAGGTAGGCAGTAAGAAATAGGGTATTGCTGTTGCCAGAGGAGACTGAAAGAGCTGTGAACAACCACCTTGGAAGGGACAGAATCCGGAAAGAAACGACAGTCTCCTGTGTCTTTGATGACTTCACTCTGTCAACATGGGGTATTTACACAGCGGTATGAGCCACCAACAAAGCACCTAAACCTGCACTACTGCAGTAAGGAGACCTGTGGGAAGGATCCACTGACTGTGGTTTATTTACTTTGCCTGCAGACACCTTAGTTACTCTTGGATTTCCTCTTCCTGAAGAAAGAACATGGTCTAGCACATTAAGTAAGGTTGACGGCTCGTTCTGCATATCACAAAGGATAAGGGAGACCAAAGCATCTAGCTCAACTACTGCAAAGTGCCTTGGTCTTCTACTATATTAACAAGAAAAGAAGAGAAAGAGGAGAAGGAAAGGGGGAGAAACAACAGGAATAAGAAGGACATGTGAGGTAGTAACAGCAGCAGCAGCAGCAGCAACAACCAAAATGATAATCATAAAATTCTATCTTGCACGTTTTCATAGAATGCCCTTAAGCAAATTACTGTTGCCCTCCTGTTTCCCATGGATAGCCTGGTGCAGATCACCGCTTTAGTGTGACCTGCAGACAATGCATGGGGTACTTGAGTCACGTTGCTAATCAAAGTGACACTCTATTTATCCAGTGATGCCGAGGAAGCTACGGTTGATACCAGTCTACTCATTATCCACAAAAGCCCTAGTAGAGGACGCTGCAGACACGCAAAGTAACACCACCGGAGTTATGCAGCTCCTTAGGGGCTGTGATTGAAGGATGCCTGAAAGCCTCCTGCCTACCAGTAACCTCCTGTCCTGGTCTGACTTTGTGCCTGGCATTATACTCTGTGTTAAGTCCTACAAAGTCCCTGAGATGATGGGAAGGAGGCCGCCAAGTAGGCTCAGAAACCTTTGTGCACCCACAGAAACCAGAATACCCCTTCCCGTCTTTGTTACGCATATCAGGATTGTGAGTCAAAATTTCTTTGGAACAAGGGATCTGGGTTAGAAGAGTTTGAGAAGCACTGTGCTAAGATATGTTAACGCTGAGCTTTCTGGAACAACGTGTGAATGTACTGACACTGTCCATATGGAATAATCCAAGTGCCATGTTCTGCACGTGATAATGTAGGAAGTAAAGTGCTTTACGTTATAAAACTCAGTTTAATTAAACAATATTTATCTTAAAAGACTCTCTTAAAAATATTACATACTTCTGTGCCTTTTGAGGCAAAATATATAGACCGTAACCTGAATTTTCTTCATAAACACTGCAACACAGCACTGAAAAGAATGGTTATTTTTCTGTTTCCTGTCTTCCTATCTGAACAGAGCTCCTTCTAAGTTGTTGTTCCTATATTTGTTGTTCTCTGTTTCCTAAATGACAGCTTCCAAACAGCTTTTAACCTGGATAATCAGACAATTACGGTTTACGATCATATGCAAAAATCAAGTGAATAAATTCTGAGTGAAGACCCAAGGTCTCCTTCCATAGTAGTAAAGTACACAGATCTTAGCCCCTTAATTGACAAAACCTGTTTCAGAGAATCAGCAGTCTTAACTGTGGACGTCCTGGTTGATGACTGTGTTTCAAGTGGTTAAAGTTATTAGAAGTAGCTGGATAATAAGTTTCTGAGCAGACATTGCTCAAAATACATAGAATTTTGTGCTTGATTTGGTTACTTTTTTTTATTTTGGAGATATAAGCTAAATATAAAAGTAAGAAAATGCAGAAATCTGGACACTCCAAATATTATACATATTCATTTTTCCCAAATATTAATAACTCTTATAAAAGCCTATGTCTCCTTCACTATGAAAGGTGATGAACTGAAATCAAGAGAAATCATTTAAAATCATTCAGGTTAGAACATACTTGTTAAGAACCTAGCACAAAAACATAATTTCATAAATATTATCTAGAACACCAAGCACATCTAAAAATTAAAATTATAAAAAATGAATAATTTGTTCTTATTGACAAAAGTAAAGGCCAGTGGACGCGACCACCTTAAATATCAAGTGGTGTACCCTTAGCACCCTAACTAAAGGCTTCCTGGGTTTGTCGATGTTGATACTCAAAGAAAGCCATTAGTTTATAAAGGGGAAAATGTCTGAAACTAAGATAATATAGGATATAATATAGAACATAGTCCATCATACCTCACTCTGATCTAATAACACTGGCTTCAACATTTGCTGATTAACACAATGATAATCTATGCTTTCGGATGGTGGGCATAATCCCATGAGCAGTCAGTGGTCATAAGAGAACCCCCACCCCAAGTTCTAACTGAGCCCTTCATGGTCCCCACACTGCAGGATCTGCTGCCATCCAGTGACAGCTGCTCACCAAACTCCAGCTCCTATGGAGCAAGGGAGTAAGATGGTCACAGCTTTAGACCCCTGGAGCAGGAGATGGGGTAGGGGTGAGGCACAGAAGGACCACAGATAGGCAGAGATAGAAAGTCTACATTTATCACTGATAAAGAGTTTAATGTCTAATCCTGTCCCACCCAGCCACATCTCTGGCTACAAGACCCAAGAAAGCTATTTTTCCTTCTTTTGATTAAGAGATATGATTTCTTCTAAGTATCAGTGAATAAATATCTGGTGGTAGTTGACAGAGTTTGGTGGAAGGAAGGGAAGGGAAGGGAAGGGAAGGGAAGGGAAGGGAAGGGAAGGGAAGGGAA